ATTGTATTTGAGTTTAAAACTACTTTTAATAATTCTAATACAGATTTTATTACTTTAATATTTAGTAGATTTAATAACGCTTTATGATAGTATAGATAGAAACGTATAGTATTAATTAATAATATAGACCAAAAATAGTGTTACAATGGCTGTAATAACTGAAAAATAAGATTATTTTATAAATAAATAATGAAATTCCTTAAAAATTTTCTTTGCAGGTACAAATACAAGTAACAACTAGAAAAATTTATTGAGTATGAAGTATTTCAAATTCAATGACTTTACTGTTATTAAGTTACTCTAAAAATGCAGTAAACATGATTGTTGTCGGTTCCAGTATTCGCTTTAAAAGCCATCAACTTACTTATGTTTTCATTGGGTAAATCAATTTTTAGGTGTAACAATACTTTTATTAAATATTTTTTTTTTAACTAATCAAAAAAAAAAAAAAATAGAACCAAATTCTCTAAAGAAACTGAATCTAAAAGATCAATTTGTTATTTCGTAATGAATTTGATGCTATTATTTAAACACTATTCTAATTATTAGGTATTAAGGAAGTTAACTGCCTTTCTTCCTCCTGTCGTTCTTTCATCCGTTTACAATTCTTAATTCATTGAATCTTTTCACAACTAAATGGCTTAAACATAATATCTTGGAGAGCATGAACCTGAGACACTGCTACAAAAGAAAGACCAGCAGTGAATTCTTTTTTACCAATATCTATTACAGCTTTGAGTAAGGTATGGCCTTGACTTTTGTGAACTGTAATTGCCCACGCAAGACGAATAGGAATCTGCAAGCATAAACATGTTATTCCATTTTTGCTTTCTACGTATGTTGAATTGGAATGATCAGGACAACTTTCATGCCTTCTAAATTGTTTATGGTAGATTTTTGTAATCATCAAATATGATAAAAACTGCCGTAGGAAGTGAAGGTGGTGCTTGATTTTCTTCAAACAAGATGTCTTGAATAATTTCTATTGAACCATTAACTAAACCAGCTTCTGTCCACAGATTAGCTGTTAATATAATATATACACCTTTAACTAGTAACAATTCTGCCTTAAGACCATTTGCTATATCTGAATCAGCATTTTTAGCCTTTGCCTCACCTCTTTGATATACTACAAAGATTTTTGCAACAGGAAAATTTAAGGATCTGAGAATACTGATATTTATTAAATTAACTTCAGTCCAATTTGTAAGTACAAATGTAGCGTTTGAGAATTGATCATGCACTACTCTATTAATATTATCTTCAAATCGAGTACTAAGCATATTCCAGTTAGCAGTAGTAGATTTTCTATTGCGTAATCATATAAGAATGTCTCTAAATTCCTGTTGTTCTTCAGAATCTCTAGATTGACACTAGATAATATCAAGCTTATACACTTCCTGAAATTGTTTATATGCCATTATACCATTATTAGTAGTGCATCTTGCAAGTATTAGTCGCATACATTGGATTATCAAGAAGGAAGGAAGTTGGCCAAAATCACCAAATATTATAATTAATCTTTTACCAAAAGGTTTGTTCTTATAGTCAGAAAAAGCTTGTCGTAGCTGAATATCAATTAATACAAGCATTTGACGACCTACCATGCTTTTTTCATCAATAATAATATAATTAACATTTTTTAATTTATCTTCAGCTGATTTAGTCATTCACCACTTATGTCAAGATGAGTGCCGATAGGAGTTGAGATAGAAAGCATTGAATGAATTGTTGATTCATTAATATTGAAAGCTGCGACACCGGTTGGCGCAAGAACTATTACTGGAGATTTGGATCCAATTCTTAACATCTTGTGAAGCCTACTTCTAATTGCCTTAATAAGATAGGACTTTCCAGTACCTGCAGTTCTCATGATGATAATTCTCAGTGGCTCCTCTTGACAACCTGTAAGTACATTAAAATAATGAGATTCTAATTGTTTAAAGACCGTCTTTTGTTTTTTGTTTAAAGTTTAGTAGTCGATAACATTGGTAGCTGAATCTTTATTTTCTTCAGTTTTGATGCTATTTTGACTATGACTAGATACTCTTTGAATGAAGGAGCTTGTCTCTGTGAGGTCAGTAATAGAATAATGTTGTCTAGCATCACCAATCCAGTTATGATTTCTATCAAAATCTCATAATCCAAGATCAGAAGAACAATCAATAGTTGAATGAGAACCCATCTCTGCAAGAAGCATCTAGTCAAATTGGTATTCATCTTCATCTTTATCATCAAATTGATCTTCTTCACTTTCATCATCTGTAATTTCATTTTCTTTATCTACTGATGGTCCAAGTAAATTCATTGGGTCAGCATTGATTTCATCAAGATAGTGATAATATAAAGTTGATCATGAAACAGTACCATTTTGAGTTAGTAGCTAAATATCTCAATGTTGAATATGAAGCAAAACTTTTACATGGCAGAACTCCTCCCACTCTGGGCCTTTTTGTAGTGGTGAAGGCTGTGGCCAGATATGTATAATGTTTTTTTGTTCGCATTTTCTCCATTGATTTTTGGTAAATTTATGTATTAAGTTTAATCTATATAAAGAAAAATCTTCAAACTCGAAGGTCGATCTCAATATGTTTTCAAAATAGGTCATATAGTGCATCCAGCGTGTTCAACTTCATAATTTTCATTTTCTCTAACACCTTTACCATGAAGCCATTGTGGTGCTTTTTTATTGAGATTTAACAAAATAAACATGCAGTTTGAATGATAAAGTAGAATCTCAAGAAGAAGATGACATGTCTCTTGAGCAGATATGTCTCGTTTTGTGATACTGTGAAGTAATAATTTTTGACTGGAGCAAGTAATCAATTATTGGGCTTGCTATTACAAAGTATTTGATCTAATAGATCTAAAAATGCTACTGATCGTGGTTCTGCCTTACTGACATATTTAGAAATATATTGTAGGGCCGCATGAATACTAAGGATAGGTTTGAGATCAACATTGGCTCTCCATCCTTGTAATTGAAGTCAATTATGCAGATTAATATACAGATCATTTCTTGCCATTATGAGTTCAGGGTGATCGTAACTGTCTTTACGCAAAAAGGTATAATTACTTTCCTCTTTAGGATATCTAAATCTACAAGATTGCTATCCTGTATGGTTAGTATGAAGACAATATGAAGAGTTACAATGCGTGTATTATTGCAACTTATTGACTAATTCGATATAATCTTGTAGATCGTTATTTAATTCTTTGTGATGCTTTTGGCATAGATAACGTTCAGGGATCGGTGAATTAAGCCCCAAATTAATCGTGGTAACTAAGGTGTTAACATAATTTACTATTTCCCTTAATGAGTTTTCATCATCTTTTATTCTTTCTCAATCAATTTCAGGTGCATTTTTTATCTTTCCAATTCCATGTACATGTATACTACCACGATGTTGCCATTCAAATCTATACCACCAGTCTTCCAAATCCCACTTTTTTTTAAATATGTTGTGAAAAAAAATTTCAAAATGTTTACTAAAAAACCAAGTAGTAATATGTGGGTTGTCAATAACATTTTGACAATGATTTTTGTTAGATGGCATAAGTTTATAAGCTCGTGCCAATGTAGATCGGTGGCACTAAGTGTAAAAAATATTAGCCTTCGTGAACCTAACTGTTTAATCATATCTTCCAGCTCATAACGGCTTGCATTCCAGAACTGTTTTGAACCATGTATACCTAGACCAAATCTCATAATTTGGTCAGCCATATGTGTATCACCTTCAGAAATCATTTCTTAAATTTCTGCAACCATTAGTTGACTATCATTCAAGTTTTGTTTAATATATACTCTCCCTTCTTGTAGTGCTCTCCATCTTATCTGAGAATTAAGTGCAAGATACTGCCAACGGATATGACAAGCAAATCTTCCATCTTTGTATTATAATAAATACTTAAAGTATTCAGCTGGTTTGATATCCCTAACACATTCTGCGCGAAGGTTAGCACTTCCATTCGTGTAAAGAGTTAGAAATGCACATACAATATAATCTGCTGTTTGAAATTCATTAATAGGATTACTATTAATATGTGGCCACAATATAGTATAATTATTAGTCAGCATACGATTGAGTGTATTGTTTATTGCAACGTCTTCTTGGTTATCTGAAGGAAAAAAGGCACGAAGGTACGAGTAATTACTTCATCATTTTCTTCATTATTTTCATCTGTAATTTGATTATTTTGAAGCTGATCATCAACAAAACCATCTACAGGCAAGTATTGGAGAATTTTATTGTCTATAATTATTTTAGAATAATACTGATTATTTGCCTTTAGCCAACATAATGCATGTGCAATCTTGTCTCTTCTAACTTTAAAATCTCTAAATGTGTTGTGTCTTTTTCAGATTGCTAGCATATGATAAGCACATTCAATGAGGATGGATTCTGGTGAAGGTGAGTAACAAACTCTTCTACATCTTGAGGAAAGTTGATAATATTTCCACTGTATCCATATTGTTCTCCACGAAGTCTGTAAACTACTATTACAGGGAAGACTTGAGCGATTAACATTTCTTTAATTTCTATAAGTCTTTGGAGTTCTTCAGGTACATTACCTGGATCCATATTATTTTCAGTTGAAAATTTCTTTGGTGAAGTTTTCTCAGTATGACAATGATAACATTCTTCTATGACAAGCGTTATGGATAAGAAGTATTCATTGCATGTAGGACACAATGTGTGTTTTAGTTTCTTCATTTTATTACAAAATTGTCTCAAAAGAATTTTATCGAATTCGCCAAGAGCCGCAGAAAGTGGATTAACTTGTATATTATCATCATTATTTTGAACTATATCAAATTCATGTAGATTATTATATTCTCTGTTGCTATTATCTATAAGGTTTGCTTCAATTTCTATAAGATCTGTTTCAATTTTACAATGTTTTTACTGCTCTTTTTTGCCATCTTCTCTCCTGGTCACATGCAAGACATGTCTTATATTGCTCAGCTGTCTCATTTTTTCTGCTTTTCCATTTTCTGAGAGTATCTCGTAAAACTGAACCTTCTCCAGATTAGTTTTTTCAATTTCAATTTCTTCCATTAGACTTTTTATTATTAGACTTTCTATCATCGAGCTTCCTACTATTGGACTTCCTATCGTTGGACTTTTTACCGGGCTTTCTGCTATTGGGCTTTCTGCTATTAGGCTTTCTTCTATTCTGATTTATGTATATTCTTTTAATTTAGCTTATTTAATTATAAGAAATATTATATGCTTATTTAGTGATTAAGAATTTGACAAAATGATCTTTGTAGAACTATATCAAGGCAAGGTATAAGTTTTTTTATATTTTTTTACTACATATATATGAATTCAGATGTTATTCTGTCTAACATTTTCATCTTTATCATTGAAACACATCTAATTTATTAATATATTTAATTTTCAGATAATATATTTTAGTCTATTGTGTCTCTAATCAATCACATTTATTCACAAGCTCTTTAATCTCTTGTGCTACATCCATTTTTTAACATTAGGTTTAATCTTATTAATTATCTTGTGTTACTTACGGTGTTACTACAATTAAAGGCTATGTAATACAGAATATCCAGATGAAGAAGGTGAATAAATAAACATACAAAATAGGCAACAATAATACACAGCTAAAATTTTATGAAAGCCGCTAGATAATAATTATCATTTCAATGCATTATTAGTAAATTCGGTTCTAACGTAAAAATCGAGATGAAGTGAATCAATTATCACAAATAAGGAAAATAATATAGTACTAGTTGATTGTTCTGTTTTTTTTTAATTTTGTGTTAGATTTTCTTTTAGGATTATCAATATTGATCCAAGGACAATTTGTGCCTCAAAGATCTATTTTATTGAGAAATTCGATATAATTATAATTTTTAATCAACAAAGAAAATATCAATATAGGGGTGTATAAGTTTTTTTACTTATTAGTTCTTTGTTTATAATAAGTTTAATTTTTACATCTTGATTATTTTTGAAACAAATTAACTAAATACCTACAATCTTTGAAATACATCAGCTATTATTAAATTATTGGCACCAATTTAAAACTAATATAACTCATTTTTGTTATTGTGAGCTCTCAATATAGCGAATATTTAAAAATATAGTGAAAATTCGATATGTGATAATATAATAATGATTCGATATGAAGAATTTGAATTACGAAATTATTGCACTTCAACTTGATATAATGAAGTATTCTTTCCATATATTGTAAGCTATAGTAAAGATTCTTTTTTTAACCCACTAATGACTGTGAATCTATTTGAAGGCATATAGTTATGTCCAATTGATATCATCGCGTCAAAAAGTGCTATAACGATGTATAGTGCAACAGTTATCATAGAACGCAATAGTTCATATACATTTTATAGATGCAGGCATTGAGGACGTATGTTACATTTAAGTAACATGTGGGCTAGGTGCTACAGAAAGGGAGGAAATTAACAAATTTATTAAAATTAATTTTTTTGTATAATTTAATTTAAAATAAGATCAAGATCATTTTTCACTTAAGACACAAAAGTAGTTGTATTAATAAATTTTTGCAGTGTAGCTCTTTAAATTTTGCAATTTCTTATGATTTATTATAAAATTTATAACATAAAAATTGATTTTCTGAAGATCTTTTTTTTTGTTGATTTCCCCCTTTTCTGTAGCACTCAGCCCATGTCATCACATCAAAAATGCTGTAATAATGTAGATCATAATAATTAACCTTTGACGTAACCTAGTTATATATTATTTACCGAATGTTGTTATAGCATAAGTCAAATACGATTAGCATAAGTCAAATATATTATAACACATGTCAGGTGTTATGCCAAATGTTAGTTATGGCTTTTTGATGTTTTTGAGTTACGTCCAATCGACCTTAAAATCAAATACGGTACTAGCATATGTTTGCATCTATAGGTGAATTATAATGTGCAATTTTTTAAAGTCATAAAACATAGTGGTGTTTGGGTTATATTTCTGACTGGATAGGTTTATACTAAAACTTGATCAGATTTTTTTGTTTCTTTAGGTATTTTTGTACACTAGCTAATTAATAATTAGTTTAATACATAAGATAATAAATATTTTTATAAATAACTAAAATAAAAAATATTTATTACCAGTAATAACAGTACCTGAATTTAATTTAGTGTTACATTTAAAATTTACAATTTATAATAAAATTATATAAAATATATTTTTTGTTAAAACATAGAAGTTAGTTTTATAAGCAGTTATTCAATTTAAATTTTTAGATTTTTTTGAAACTGTATTTATTATGTAGCAATTAATAGATTCACTTTATATAGTAAATAAATATAATTTTATAATAAATATATGAAAATTACTACAAATCACCACTGGTGATCATCACCGGTGATTTACGATATATAATTAGGTGTAACGTGCAAACGTT